TGAACTACTAGTTAATGCATTAAGCTGCAATGTCACCATCCTCTGGAGGAATGGGGGCTGTGCTCCCCAGGTGGCAGAAGGTGACTCAGTTTCCCTGAGAAATAAGGTAACTTCCCCCAAGGGACACAGCTGACCAATGGCAGAGAGAACCACTGCTCTTGATTCTCAAGTTTCCCCTCTGCCCCTCTCCACCTACCACCGACATTCCCCAAAATAATTACCGATGAAGAAGGTGGACGATCAGCTGATTCCACCCACCCAGTAACTGTTGTGAGGAGCTGACAGGTCTGAGAACCATGTCACTCTATTCCCATGTCTGCAGTTGTCTTCAGCTATGCCCCAGTCTATGCTCTTTGACCTGTGGTTCCACTGTGCTCAGTGCCTGGGGACAAGGGAATGAGACTACTGCCTGATTTGCTCTCCCCTATCCTCTTCTGGGCAGGACTTCTTGAAGAGATCCTAGGCTCTTTCCTTTCCATCACCACATCATGACAAGCCAAGCTGATTAAGCATTTAACCCAACACTCTCCACTTTAGCCACTGGCCCCAGAGAAAGAAAGCACCAGGCAGACATATTAGGCAAGTCCATCACATCAGACAAACACCCTCCACTTGACAGTGCTGCTTAGTTATGCTGCTGCCTTGGCCACGACTTCATTAGGCATGATCAGTTTAAGCCAGGGATGAGGTAACCTTTCAAATCCAGGCACCAAATGGTCTCAGTAGGAGATAGGAGCACAGCTGTGGCTGAGTCTGCCTGGCAGCGCAGCCTCCCAGCCTTCTGCTCCCTCCCTTTGCTTTGGAATGGATTTCTGTGCAAACAAGAAGGCAGCACAAGTTGCAAATCAAAGCCCTTTTCTTCCTCCCATGTCTCATTAATTCTCCTTTTGAGAACATTCCTCAGTGCCAGGAACAAGAGACAGCCAAGGAACCAGCCCAGCACGGAAAGCAGGAAGGAGATCTGCAGACCTATGCTCTTTATTCAGCAACACAGGAACCGCCAGGTTGAATCAGACCTAAGATCCACCTAGTCCAACCCCTGGAGGCTTCCTGGACAGAATCCAACCCTGGAGTAAGTGGGTGCCACTTCACTAACATCAACAGGAGCAGTCAGCGGGGCTGGTTTCAGCTCCTACATTTTGAAACCACTTGGACTGAGTTGTAGGTTTCTCCTTTTCACAAGCATCCTTGGGAATAACCCTCCAGGGAAAGACAGAATCCTCTGCCCATCCTTCAAATGCAAACTCCTCACTTCACCTACTGTACTGTGCTAAAGAATGCTTTAAAACCCTGTCCAGCAGGGAAGCAGAGCAGGGCCTCTGCTACTGGAGGTCCAAGATACAGAAAGGTCTCAGATGACAGTGACTGTGAACAGGCTTTACAGAAATAAAATAGAAACCAGCACAAGCAAAGAACTCACGCAAATCAGCTAGACAAGAGGCCAGAACCTCCCACTACCTGGTCATCAGCTGTATTCCAGGGTAAGTTAATAGCAAGGGCAACCCCACAGTGTGTGGCATACGCTAGTAAGATGCACTGTAGAGGGAATTAGAAGTATGTAAACGGAACTGGGGGAGAGGTCAGCCACATCACTGAAATGAACAGGCTGCCATTTAATTTAGTGAGCTCAGGAGAGAAGCCAAGAAATAAAGGAGCTGTTGAGATCGAAAAAGCCTCTCTCTGGAGAGATCTCTTCAGGTTAGGACTGAGGTGGGAGGGTAGGAGAAGCTGGAACCAAACCACTTGTTCTAGGGATGGGATGACTTTACCTCGAGAGCCAGCGCTGTTTGCTGAGTGAACCAGGAGAACTACTGATTTAGGAATCCTTCTAGAGAGGTAACCTCAAAAGCAAGATCATGACTCCCTGGGGAGAGGTGTCTATAATTCCCGCTGGTTCATCTGAGCCCTCAGGGCACAGCCTCTGGAGCTAGGGCTTTTGCACTGCCTGTTGCTACACGCACCTGGAAATCTAACAAGTGCTGAGAATTTTCAGTCAGCTTCAACATATGCCAGAGGGTAGAGGCTGGTTCCTCCTTTGTGTCTGTGTACTGCCTAGTGCATGAAGTCCCAATGTTGATTAGAGCTTGTAAGGGGCTTCCACAATGTGATCAGATACTTCTGGCATGCAAGAAAGTGACTGTGCTTTGACTCTTCATCTCTAAAAACTACCAACAATACAGTATACAAAAGGCACCCGTCTAGTACGGGGTGATGGGCTTAAACTGTTGCGGTAAAACATCACCAGGGCAGAACACCCCTCATGACCATTAACGATGTGTATTACACCGTGCCCAGAAGCCACAGCTGTGATTGTAGCTGCGTTGTGCTGGACCCTGCACAAAAACCAAGAAAAGACTGTTTCAACCCTGGAGGTCCAATACAGGAACAAGAGGCAACAGACAGGCAGGGAGAGAAGGAAGCAAAGTAGGTAATTAATAGGATTGCCACAGCATTGCCTACGCTCACTAGAGGCAGACACATTACTTTTTGTTATTAGAATAAGTGAAGCAGAGCTACAGATGAATCATTAGAAGGCCATTTGTCTAATCAGTATCATAAAGCAGCTTTTCAATAACAAGCAAGGGATCTGCCTGGTGTGGGCATGTCTATGTGCATGCGTGGGGGGAAGGGGTGTTGAGACGTGTGGAAGATGGGGGAATCCAAGCAACGAGGCACAAAGGAATCCAGCAATTATTGTGAGCAGAGCTGCATCGTGACTGCCCACCCTGGCAGATCCCCATCCAGCTTAGTGCCCTGAGGAACAAAGGATGAACTAGAGCAGTCGTTCCCCATCTGTGATAGGGGTGCCACCAATGGTACGCAGACAACCTGTCAGTAGTACACGTTAACAGATTTATTATAATTACTTTATATGACAAAAGTTTTCTGGTGGTACTTCAGGTTGGACTGAAAAGTTTGCTGGTGGTACTTCAGGTTGTATCGTTTTGAACTGGGGGTGCGCAATCTGTCAGAATTTGGGAACTGCTGATCTAGAGGGAGCGAACAAACCTGTAAACCACAGCATCTCATGAGGTAGCCACCAGCCCTGCCTGACATGGAAGAGAGGTGTAAGATCACCATTCTGGTATTCATAGGCAAGGCCGAAACTCCAGGACTAGGAGACGCAGCCTCCCTCTCCCCTGCCAGCCTTCCAGGCCCAAACAGCCTCCTGGATGGGGGCAGGTTATGGGTATTTCTGAGCCATGCGCAGCCCCAGGACCTGCTCAGCTGCTGTCACTCAGAGGGACGTGGTGTCCAGTGCCAGAGCTGGGAACCATGGACTTCAGACTAAGACCCACTCCCAAGAGCTCTCGCTCCAGTCTGGTGCTTGAGGACAGGCCAGATTCACTGCCACTCAATGCCAAGCAGCAGGTCCTTCACAGTGACTGCTGCCAGGAGGACCGGCAAGGCCGATCCCTTCAGCACCGTGCATCTGCCGGTGAGCAGATCACTGGGGAGGATCCGAGCCCACACATTTCACGAGCTCTGCCAGGGGTGGACACTGAAGGGAAAAAGCCTTGTTACTTTATTTACGCAGCACATCGGGGCTGGAAAGCACCCCACGAGTACTAGGGGATGATCCTGGCGGCCAATCTGGGAAACAGGATCCCCCTTATTTCAGAGGGAGGGAAACGCAGGCAGTGCGGACAGAAGCGCTGGGGCACCGGGGCTCAGATTCAAAGAGACACCTTCCCTCGCACCTCGGCGCTGCCCAGGCCGCCCCCCGGCCTCAGTGCGACAGCGGACGCTGCACCCGGCTGCCTGAGATGCTCCTCCTGAAACCGACAGCCGGCTCCCGCGGGCCCCACCGCCCGGGACAGGCCGGGGCAGCTCCGGGAGGCGGCGCCTCTGCCCTTCCCGCCCCGGGCCCGCGCCCCCCTGCTCCCCCGGCCCCGATCC